ACGTAAATGCAGAGGACTGCTCTGCCGTCAACTGTTAACAGCAATAAGGAGTGGAAGAGGGTAGAATTATCAGATGGCTGCTCTCACAATCAGGAAGGCTTTGGAAGTAGCAATAGGGAACTAAGAGAATCCAAACTCTGCCTGCTAGTCCCATGATGAACAATCCACCGAAGACTGAAGAGAGGTCTCCATGGAGAGTTCTACGGAACTGATGGCTCCTAAGAGTCAGGATTTTGTCAGGAAACAGGTGGACAAGTTCATCTGAGAGACTGAAATGTAGAGAAGGATACTGCTAGACATGTGATGTTCCTGGTGGGAATGATGGGGAAAAGACCAGTAAACAGCAGCACAGAGCAGTCTGGAGATGAGAGTGTGTGAGATGTCTAAGAGGCTACATGAGCAGACGATAGAGCTGATATTCCCACACGAGGCCACTTAAGAACTTAAGGCAGCAGACTTTTTGTTTGTTTGTTTTTTATCACCACATATGAGATGATTTTGTAGTTTAAAAATCTAACCAAGGAAAAGTGCAGCACATTTCTGGAAACATCTAGATGTTCAAACACTCTAGGGAATTGTTCAAATATCTAGCAGTCCTATCTTCTATTTAATATTTGTCATGAAAATATCTTGCCCTCCCACCTCAGAATACTTGATAGCTTCAATAGGATACAGTCTTTGATGAATTTAAAAAGTCATCACCATTTGGGCCGGGCGCGGTGGCTCACGCCTCTAATCCCAGTACTTTGGGAAGACGAGGCAGTTGGATCATGAGGGCAGGAGATTGAGACAGTCCTGGCTAACACGGTGAAACCCAGTCTCTACTAAAAATACAAAAAATTAGCCGGGCGTGGTGGCGGGCGCCTGTAGTCCCGGGGAGGCTGAGGCAGGAGAATGGCCTGAACCTGGGAGGCGGAGCCCCGGGAGGCTGAGGCAGGAGAATGGCCTGAACCTGGGAGGCGGAGCTTGCAGTGAGCCGAGATCGCGCCACTGCACTCCAGCCTGGGTGACAGAGGGAGACTCCGTCTCAAAAAAAAAAAAAAAAAAAAAAAAATCACCATTTGCAATCTTTACTGAGTTTCCCAACTTAAAATAAATATAATTCTTATTATAAATTCATATTTCAGTGAAGCTGTTTCTAAAAGTAAAACATTCAGAAAAGCACTAGGACTTGTGAATTAGAACCACTAACACTTTTCTATCTCTATTATTAACTTAAATTTGGAAGTGCGAAGCACCTCATGTTATCCTCAAATAAAGTCACAGGCCACTTAGTTGATTGGTTGATCAGTAGCTCAAATATTGACTAAGTGATAATGATATCTAAAGCATTGTAAGAATAAAATGATGAATAAGACAGAATAGGGTTTTGAACACTATAAAAATACTATTTAGAAGTCAATAAATAATAGTTGAAAAGCTATTTGGAACTGATGACTATTTTGATGTGGGAATCTTTCTTCTTCTACATTCCCTGAATGAAGAATTGAAGATAATGATAATTAATATTAATAATAACAAATGCAGGTAAAACCAGAGTGCCCTAAAAGAATATGTTAGAAATCCTATTCAATAAAGCATGTTGAAGGAAAATGTTTTTGCAGTATAAAAATTTAGGCAGGGGCCCTATTTTCAAGGTAAATTAAATTGTCACCATTTCTATGTCATTTTATCATCACAGCAGAAAAATTAAAAAAAATTCTTCTAGGTTTTACTAGCTAAAAATACCCAAGTCTAATGACTGTACATGATGAAAACAAATCTCCATGTAAAAAATATAGCCTTTTTTGCTCAGAGATAGCAAGGCATCGTTTTTTAGCTTCTTCTAAGGCTTCCCTTGATGTGCATTTGAATATACTTTTACCTGCATAAACATTTTTTAGCGAGAGAAACAGTGACACCGACATTCTTGATACAGCTATTCACATATCCTTTCAAGTAGCCTCCTTTATACTTAAACTTGAACAAAGTCCAAGATTAAGATAATACAGTACTAGAGATTTCAATTAATTTCTATTAAAACTCTTCTCGCATGACTTCTCTTGGCCCAAGTTGAGATGCTTAAGGAATTTGGATCTCACTAATTAAAATGGCAATGTTACCAAGTTTAAATACCCAGAAATCTACTGACAAATATATTTTCATAAAATGTGATATGTTATTCTATACATTTATTAAATATTTATATTTGATTGATAATATGTATTTTTAAAACAAACAGACAACCAAAAATGTCTTTAGATTGGTTTCTTCAAAAAGGATCTCTCTCTGTCTCTCAAAATAGATCCACAATAAAGCATAAACAATAAGCTGACACATACACTAGCCAAAACAAACAACAAAAAACTGTCAGAGTTTTTTGTTGTTGTTGTCGTTGTTGTTGTTGTTGAGCTCCAGACAATTATTTGAGGGTTGGCAAAGTGCCTTGCTTAATTTCCTAGTTAAAAGAAGGTAAACTACATCATCTGATGTGACCAGATGGAACCAAAGTGCCTTTAAGTATACAGGTATTGCTTTACCTCAAGATTACCAACCTATGCAACTGGAGTTTCTTCTTTGGCAACATGCCGATTAGTAAAAAAAAAAAAAAAAAAAAAAAAAAAAAAAAAAAAAAAAAAAAAAAACCTGGGCACTTATTAATTTCGTTTAATTCAAAGAGAAAATTTAGGAGGTCACAAGTTGCGGACTTTGCATCTTGGTTATCACAAAATTAATGGCCCAAGGCAATGAAGGCTTTGACTTCATGTGCAGAAGATACATCCTCTCCTGAAGACTGCTTATTCACCTGTCTTCTGCCGAGGCCAGTTCAAGAAATCAGGATGTCTGCGAAATTTGAAATCAGACCATCTTTCCTAATACTACCCAAGCTTTTTCTGGGTAAGTTCTACCTAAGAACTTCCATCTCTATGACTATCTTGCAAGCAAAATTCATTGTTGAGAGAAAAAAGCCACAACTATACAAACTATTTATGTATATCAGCCATTCTGGTTTTTAAAATTGCATTAAAACACACACTCAAGTTACAAAAATTCTATTTTGTTGCCATGAAACACAAAAACAAGTTCAATATTTAGATTCAATTCTAGAGTGAAATGTGTTTTGGCCAACTTTTGATCCTGGGGTAAATGTAGCTATTTAAAATCCTAGAAAGTAGGATTTTATGTGATAAATTTTTATGTGTAAGATGGCCCATAAATTAAATTACTTAACCTCTTCCCCCACCATTAGTTTAAATGGACCATTTAATCAAATGACTGGCCTGTTAAGATGATTTAGAACTTAAATAGAAAACAGAAGAATGCTTATCCTTAATGCAGAATATAACAAATGATCAAACAGTGAGGTTAGATATTTGACATTACATTTATGTATATTTTCCTTAATCTTCTAAAATGGCAAGTCCAGCAATAGTTGTCCATTTTACTGGAGTTATCTTAATTGCAATTTCAGGAGATGCAGATCAAACTTACTAATGTACTCCTTTTTTTCTTTTCCCAATTTTTCTGATCTCTTATGCAGCATTCCTTGTCATAAGAATGTTTTTACATATTTAGATTTTACAATAATAGATGTTGCATCTAAAATATTAATCATCCAAAACAAGTTAAATGCCAATACCAATCAAAAATGTCTTTATATTTGTTGCACTGCATTTGCAAAAGAGTTAGGAAAGAGCCCTGGTTGACAGAGTTAAGTTCCTTGGCCAAAAAAGTGTGTTTTGTTTTGTTTTGTTTTATTTTCAATTGACCTTAGTTCATTAAATAACCAATATTAACTGCAAATTAGCTTGAACTTTTTTAATGTGAAAAAATTGAAGATCATATACAAACCAAATTCATGTAGTATTTCCTTTAGTGTTGAATATTTTCTAAGTAGCCATAGCATTTTCATATGGAAAGCGAGACCAGAACTTTTGAAGAGAACTGGGACTTGGAAATGCAAATGAGGAAATAAGGATGAGGAGGAGTATAAATTAGAATCTGGTATGCTATGCACTACTTACCTTCAAAAGTCAAATAAAACTTTCCTCTGTCAAACCAAACGAGGGAAGGCTGTTCATTCTCTGTATGGCCAGGAGTTGAAGCGGGATGGGAAGGGTTAAGGAGAGGGAGAGAGAAGGACACAATGTGAGTTACAGAGCAGGTCATTAATCTCACTATAGGGAAGGGTGGAGGCACTACATGCCATTAGCGTGCAGGAAAAAGGAAAGGCTGGCAATCTACGCTTTTTTTTTTTTTTTTTTTTTAAAGTTCAGGAAACAGAAAGCAAAAGCAAAGCTATGGAGGCCTAAAGGAATGGGCATGTGTTGGTGGTCGCTTGATACTTGGTGCTTGTGTGCATGGAGCGGAAGTCTTCCTGGCCATGCAGGGGCGTCAGCATATTTTAACTGCACTAATTTGGGCAAACTGTCATCCAGCAATTGCTGTATCCATTTCATCTTCAATGCCATCCCCTTCTATGTTTCCAAAAAGATAAACTCAGAGTTATGGATTGTAGAAAACATTAGCTTAGGTTTTAAATGACAAAGCATTGCATATCAATATAAATTTCAGGGAAGATGTCACATATCTTCCATCCCCTCCCCTGGAATCACCTTAGGCATCCAGACACAAAACACCCTTTACCTATGTACCAAAGAGAAAACAAGATTACTAATGATGCTCTATTATTTTTAAATTAAAAAGCAGTGACCGGACATGTAATTCTGAGCAGTTAAATTATTCTTTCCTTTGTAAATTCACACAGCAATAGCATCTCACCTTTTTTGAACCTCTTCACTGAGAAACTGTCATGCAACCTGCTGTTTTTTAATATAGTCACTTAAAAAATTTCAGTGGCATGAGTTCCACGAGGAACAGTAAATATACAGGGTACATCTGAGAGGCACTGGACACTCATGAGGTGAGGGGCATGTCCATGAAGTTTATAGCATTCAGATGGATAATGACTTGGATTTTTGGAATCTAGGTCTCTAGAGATCACTTGGCTAGCACCATACCTGCAGGCGTTTCACAGCGCCTTTCAAACGAGGGCAGTTTGTCATAAAAAACATCATCTTCTGACACTACGAACCAAAGAAACATAAACGAATGGAAAACAAAAACACAAATACAAATCCCAAATGAAATCAAGAAGCCCACTTTACTGACTGAAACACAGGAATCATTTTAATGGAAAAAGGAAACAAAACTGAAAACACTGGAATTATGATTACGATATAAAAAAGTGTTTTGCTTATTTTGTGATGATTCTATGAGAGGAAATTAAAATGTAAAAAAAAGCCAGGGTTTAGCATCTGTGAATTTGTCTGAAGTCAGCTCCAGGGAAGAAGTCACGCCCCATCTTCTCAGGGAGTTGCTAAAGGAACTGTCATTAAAAATTGACTTATGCAAGTGTATTTCACTCCAACACAATTCTCAAATGGTCAGACATATGTCCATCAACAAGAATCTCCTGATAGAGCACTGACAGCTCAATAGGATCACTCAGTATGCACCTTCCTCCCATGGGGAAAGTAGATGCTTTTAACATGGCCATAAAAAAGCAACAGTATAAATCCAAGGTCCCTGTATGAACTATCCCATTTCAGCCTCATCAGTATCCAAATTCAATTTGCCTTGCACCTGCCTTTGATAGTTATGGACTGTTAATTTTGAACAGCATTATCATAATTTTATCTTTGTCTATGGTATCCAGCTGTGTCTGAATGTCTTTGTAAATTGGTCACAACATCATGCATGAATTGGTGCTCTGGACTGTAACCAATTCAGCTCTTTCTAAGGTCTCCCTTCTCAGCAACTAACAAGTGCAAGTAATTGGGATTTTGACTCTATGTGATTTTTAAAAAGTACTCAATGTCACAGGTCTTATGCATACTATTACAACTTTAATAGAAAATGGAATAAAATCTGTACAAAGACCAGTAAGAAAGAAAAATGCAGAGAATGAAATGGATGAGGGTAGAAAAAATATTCCACAAAGAATAATGTTCCTTGGAAAATATTCTATTAGCTTGACTCCATATTTACAATTTAATGATAATATTCCTCATTATCTCTATTGTTATCTCTGTATCTTGAAACGTCAAGGAGCTTGGTTCTTAGAGTAACTTTAAGCAATTTCCCTATCCTCATAATATTAATAGGATTTCCCCCCAAATCATATAGTAGAGGTCCTGTGAGCTTTTACTAATGCAAAAGAACTTACTGTTTTTCATTGATTCTTTTTATTTATTTATTATTTTTAAAAACTGAGATGAGAATCTTGCTGTGTTGCCCAGGCTTGTCCTGAATTCCTGGGGTCAAGTAATCCTCCCATCTCAGTTGGGATTACCACCAGATTACCACTGCACACCACCAAACCTGGCTCATTGATTCTAAACTGTGCACTTTTTCACATTCTAACCTGTCTGAAATAATTAATGTAATAAAAAAGCATTTTATGTTAGCTCAACCAGTAGTTTTTCTCCCCTTTCTCAGTTGTATATAAAATAATGGTACATTTTTCAATCGAGGGTGTCAATTCAGTAAAAGGCAGTTGTATAGGAGCTCTTCCTTATGCGAGTGTGACAATACACAAAAAGTCCTATTTTCAGCTGTGGCATCAGACTTGCTATTGTGTAATCACAGCTGTCATGAGACATTTCATATCCAAAGTCATTTAGGGGCATTTTCTTACATGAATTGCTGTGTAGAAGGTTTAGACTTGCTCTTAAAACTTTAGTTCTTGAATTACTTTAGATTTGCCCCAATTTTGGCTCAAGTACCATAGGAAATGTCAAAAAAAGTATTGTGGTGGGAGGGAAATGTTGAGCTATCAACCTCAGAGAATTTGCTGCTGAAATTCTCTACCTCCCTCACACCATTTGACTACATTAAGTTGACATTCCAAGTCAGTCGTGATCAGGCCCTTTGGTGTTAAACAGCCGAAGCGCATCCTCTCCGGAGAGGAAGAGCAGTGCACAGGAAGCCTGGGGACAGTCAGTCTTGACAATATATTTACTTCAGAGAAAAGTGGCTGTCAGGTGACCCCACAGCAGGTGAAAAGACAGAGCAGGAGGGTGAGGAATTCAGCAGGAAGATGGACACCAAATAAACACAACAAAATCAAACAGATTAAATCAGTATGCTCCTTAGTAATAAAGCGATGTGACTATTGTCTTACATGGCTATATATATTTTTTAAACCCGCTCTGGTTCATCTTGAAAGAACCCATACTAGATGTGTTAAGAATCAAAGTTTCTGGCCAGGATTTGAGATTTCTGCGGCAGAGAGTATAGAAACACATTGTACAAATATGCACAAAGTTCAAATTCTCTCTTTTTTTTTTTTTTTTTTGAGACGGAGTCTCGCTCTTACCTAGGCTAGAGCATGCAGTAGCACGATCTCGGCTCACTGCAACCTCCGCCTCCCGAGTTCAAGGGATTCTCCTGCCTCAGCCTCCCGAGTGGCTGGGACTACAGGTGCCCGCCACCACACCCGGCTAATTTTTGTATTTTTAGTAGAGATGGGGTTTCACTATGTTGGCCAGGCTGGTCGAACTCCTGACCTCGTGATTCGCCTTCCTCGGCCTCCCAAAGTGTTGGGATTACAGGCATGAGCCACTGCGCTTGGCCAGTTCAAATTCTTTGTGTGTGCTGTTTTCTCTATGAATCACAGTGCATTGAAAGAACATGTTACAGGTTTATCTGAGGTCACTTGGGGCCAGGTTTCTGAGTGACAGTTTACTCTTACTTTCCTCTCTGACCAACAAGGCAAATCACATGAAGGAGATGAAACAACTCATCTTGAAAAAGAGTGACAGTGTGGGGAATGGCTTATAGCAATCAAGAAGTATTAAGGGGATAGAATTTTAAAAAAAGTTACAGAAACAAACAAACAAACAAAACAGAGGGAAATGAGTTACTAGGCATTGAAAGATAGGAAGCCCTAAATTGCCCCAATTGATGTTGCAGACAGGAACAAACTTGGCTACATAAATAATGTTTAATATCTGTCTGTTGCTAACTCACATGAAACTAGGTAGCTGGCTCTATTTTCACCAAACTTGAAAGGTTCTTTTGGGAGGATCTGATTAAAAATATAAAGCATGTGATGTAGTTTAAATTCCCTTTGGGGGACTTAAGAGGCACACCTTAACTTATTTCTCTGGGAAAATAGGCAGTTCTTTCTCCAGAAGGGCTTCAGACTTTGATCAAGCTACTTCTCACATAGGCAACTGTGCATTCTACTCTTCCAAGAGTAGCAGAAGGAACTTATTTAGCTTTAGTTAACCATTCTCCCAAGCAGTGTGGGATGGGCCAAGTGGTTTACACTATGGAAGAGCCGGAGGGGAGTTCCGACAACAAAGGAAGACAGTGGGGAATGGGAATCCCATGGGAAAAATGGAATGGGAAAGCCCTAGGTGGGAGACACCATGCAAAAATGAGAGAGGCAACAGGACCTTGTCTCCTGCTGGGAGGTGGAAAAAGAGAGAGACCAGCTTTGGAAAGGGGAATGATGCTCCAGGCAAAATGAAGCATTGAAACCTTGGAAAACCATCCAGCTGAACAGCCATTCTCAACTCTTCATTTTCATCACAGCATAAGGAAAGAGGCATAAAGGCATTTCCTGAAAATGCCACCAACGACTTATTTCTCTGGGAAAATTGACCACACATCACTGAAAAGCACTAGAAAAAAAAATGTCGAAAAGTTTGCTCAGGTCTCACAATGCCGATGTTTATACCATTTGTCAACATAAGGACACCCAAAAATGATGAAGAAATGAAAGCTTCAAGAAAATACAGGTTCTAAATTTTGTGATTTCTGATGTGGTACATGGTTGGAATTTAAGCAAACATTTCCCCTCAAAGGAGACATTTTTATTTAAGAAATAATATCTAAATTACAAGACCTTCCTTGGCGATTTCTTCCTTATTTTTTGAATAGCTCTGTATGGAACAGCATAAGAAAATTCCTGCAAAACACAGGCGTTAATGTTCTTGTATTTGTTTATTTGCTTAGGTAAAGCACTTTGCCTCCTTTGCTGAGAAGGTGGTTTTAAAAGAAGAGTCAGGTAATAGTAGCAAAACACACAGCAAAACAATTTCAACCAGAAACACAGGGCCTTGGGGATTTCAGACAATTAAAAATAGCCAGTCAAAACCACAAACGGATTAAAAGAGAGGAGAGAATTTTTACCAACTGTGGGAGTGGTGGCTGCGCTCAAGGAATTGGTTGACGATATTGAAGAAGTGCTTTCAGCCCGCGCTAAGGGTGCTATTGGAGGAGGGCTGGAAGAATGAATGGGAGGGCTAAAAGGTCTGGACTGTAAGGAGAAGAAAAGAGATGAAAAGTTAGATACACAGGTTGCAGCATTTTTGTTCCATATTGTTAATGTCTCCCAGCCCCAGATACGACAACTTAGGTTTTTAAAGAATAGACGACACCATTTTTACACTGTAATTAATTATATCTATACGAGAGTTTGTGGAATTGAGCTGGAGAAACGATAAACCATAATATGCTAAACCTGAGCTTAGAGAAGCTGGGATCTGTGACACGGTCAGTGGGTCTGTTTCAGCACCGAACTCACATGCCCTCAGGGACTCAGCAGGTAACACAGAGTGAGAGTTCATACTCATCTAAAGCTAACAAAATACAAAAATACTGTACTGTGCTAGCTCAGCCAAATACTATGGACATCATTTGTTTGTGACTCCTGTGTGCAAATGCCAAAGAAATCTACCTCTGCCACAAGTCTCTCTTAATTGTTCACACAGAATGTTTTCCACTCCTCAGCCTTAAAACACACGGCAAGAAACTTCTGCAACAAATTCCCCAAGCCACCACTCCTTCACTGTATATTCACATAGTGTGCCTACTATGAATAAGTCATCTGCATTCTGGGATCAGAAACCAGGATTTGCCCTCTCTTGGAGTTTTCTAATATCAGACAAATATTGTGAAACAGCTCTCTTTCTAAAGGATTTAGTGCTATTGAATGTTACTATCATCATTTGCATCTAACCCACTGTAGCAGAGATGAGGGCCCAAGCATACCATGCCTGTCATTTTAGACCTTGGCTTGAAAGATGGCAGAAATTTGAGGAGGGTTGAAATGTACACTCATACCACAGTGACTGTCTTTCAGATGCCACCTGTCAAGGTTGTTTGTACAAGTTCTCTAAACGCTTAGACCTGAAGGCATTTGGAGCTTCTGTTTGTCATTCTCACTGTTTCTGAGCAAGTCAGAGCAGAAGGGAACATACCACATCTCCAACTCCAGGCTTGCCTGGTGGTAGCTTTGGCCGGGATGGAGGCCGGGGAGGGGGTGGAGGTGGAGTGGTACTGCTGCAAGGAACCAAAGGAGTGGCTGGTCGAGCAGGGGATGATGCACCTGAAAAACAAGCTGGTATTAAAAATGGCTGGAAACACAGGGGGCCAAAGTGCTGTTATCACAGTACAATGCCAGTCCCGGACACATTTATTTATTTATTTATTTATTTATTTTTGCCTTGGCAGTTACTACACTAAACACTGTAGCATTTTGTTTTTTCTCTTTTTTTTCTTAATAAAGAAAAAAAATTACTCAGTTCCACTACGGGTGATGGCAGAAGCTCATTGCCTTTTGTTGTCATGTGACACCCAGGGAAAGGTAAATCCTTTTATTGCTCTGTGACAGAAGGTAAGGTCTTAAGACTCTTGGCTGCGTGGTACGTGCCTTTCATTATCATCATATACACACTAAACACATAATAAATTCTCTTGCATTTTGCATGTATTTAGAATTTGTTTATGTCCAAGATGAAAATGGGGGTTAGAACTTGAAGGAAGATGAATGATTTTTTCCACTTTAGGCTTTTCTTCTTCAAATGTGATTAAGAGAATTATGCTTTTGACTGTAGTTAAACTATGAGCGCCAACTTTATTAATGTACCCAAACACTGGATGGTAAGCAAAAGACAAAATACAAGAAAATAAATTAGATGTTGCATGAATACTTTGTATTTAGAATCTTAATAACAGAAATGCACTGAATTTAGAGGATTTTATTTTGTGAAGGAGGCTGCTTGGGAATCTGTCAATGCAGAGTTTGCCCACGATGATTTTTGAAAGAGCCTCTTGGATTTACTTTTCTGGCTGTCAATGACAAGCGCATGAAACACAGAAGACACACAGAGGCTGGCATGCACATCAGTCAGCACACCAGTGGGGTCTCTGGATTCAGGAATCTGCCTAACTTCAGTCGTATGTCTGAGATACACAGGGAAACTTTACTAAAAACCTTTAAAAAGTCAAATCAATGTTCAAACCGTTCTTGTTCAGAAAAGTTCCGACTGCTCCTGAGGTTTTTGTCACTTCCGTTAGAAACACAGGTCTCAAATCATCCCAAGAAAATTCTAAGAAATCCTGCCCTGGGAAAATATCCACACTTCATCCCCCATACCTGCCACCCCCTCACCACCTCCCAAACAACACACCACAAAACTGGGCTCTCTGGAGAGTTTTTATATCAGCATCTCAGTCTCCAAATTCTCAGACTCTCAAAAGCTTTGAAGTTGAGCAGCAAAACCTATCATTTCAGAAATCTGCTGTATTTTAAGAGAGTCCCTGGGGGATTAAACCTTGTGCCTTTTGTTTAAATAATCTGAAATCCTGAGTGTGTTTCTCTGTGTTGTTTATTCTATGTGTAATCACATTAGTGTGAAACCTACTAATTATTACCCCCGCTCCCTCTCTATCTCCACCTTCCTCTACCACTACCACCTGTATTCTTACTTTTTTTCTCTACTGGGCCAGGGTCTATGCTAAGCACTTTACACGTATTACCTTATTCCCCTGACAAGCTTTGGAGGTAGGTACTGTTAGGCATCTATGCAGAATCTGAAGCTCAGAGATGTTCAGTAACTTGCCTAAGGTCATGTAGCTAAAACTGTGTATGTACCTCCGAAGCTCACGCCTTTAAATGCAATCTCTTATAGCTTGAGATGGACTGTGGTGGAGAGTCCCACATTTTGCATAAAGTCTGTTCTTATTTTTGCTTGGCTTGCACATCTCTCTCTCAATATAGATGTTTTTAGTCTTTGGCTAATCTTCTCTTTAAAAAAAGGTATGTTTTGACAGGCCCCACTACAAAGTTTTCTTTTGATTATTGTGTTAGTAGATTTACACCCAGGATATTTTCAGAAGACAGAAGCAACAGCATAGAGATCAATAAATCTTTAAACAGTGAAGCCTCAGAACTTTTTTTTTTTTTGGTGGTGATGGAGGAGGAGGTGTTCTATTTAGCTTTGTGAAAACCATGCCATAGGAAAGGCCCAAAATGTCTATCTGTAGGTCTGTTTCCAAGAAATAGTCTTTTGAATAATTCTAAAAAAAAGCCCACTCTTTATCCTTTTCCTACATGTTCCAGAACAAAAAAAAATTTTAAACTCCTTTCAGTGATGCCTGGGAAAGTACTAAGGAGCCACCACCAAGGCAGTGTGGAATACTGAAAAACACTGGATGAAGAACCAGATGATTTGAGTTCTGGCCCTGCTGGCCTGAAACCTCAGCTTCCTTGTTTTAAGAGACATTGTTTCTACCTTACAAGGTATTTGTAACAAATAAAATTGAAAATGCTTATGAAAATGTTGACTATATAAAATGCTACACAAATAGAAAGTAGTAGATACTGGTGATGATGATTAAGATTGTGTTTTTTGATACAAATACAACTAAAAAGTTAAAAAAAAAGTTGTTCATTGAAAAGTTAATTGTTTTCCTTTATGGATGCCCCATTGAAATCACTTTTTTCCCTACTGAATTGAAGTAATTGATTTGTTTTGCAGCTAGAAGGACAAGGATATTTCAGTTAAAACCCTGCTTGACCAAACCCTGAGGCTTAGCAGAGGATATTCAGGGCCTGAGGGGTATTTCACAATTGAACTAAGGCTTCACATACTTTTGTGAAATTTCTCAACTGTTTCACATTTTATTAGTGTAGATGGCTATCATTTGCACATCTCTATCCTCACTCTTCAATTTTGAAATGCATTTTCATTTCCCCCTTAAAAAGTGTTTATTTCCAGAACAATGCTGGAAAATGATTTGGACAGCACCACTGTTTAAGGTTTAACTTTAAAACCCCCCAAAACACTGAGTTTTGTGAGTTAAAAAAGGTTGGCAACCATTGACATGCTCTCAATCCATTCGTTGTTCTCAAGCTGGTTTAATCAATTTCTTTGGCAACCCCCAAAGACCACGTATCTACCGCTTCCACTTTCATTTCTTTTTTTATGTGTGTGTTGGGCTGGAGCAGTGGAAGCAGCTGGAAGACATGGTCAAGGCACAGTCTGTGGAATCCAACAGATCTGGGGCCGTATCCTGGCTCTGCTACTTACTAGCTTTGTGATTACAGCTAAGTTACCTTTTTGAGCTTCAGTTTCCTAATCCACAAAATGAGGCTAATAGTTCGTGCTGTTGCTGGGAGAATCAAGTGAGTTAAAACATATGCACTTTGAAATATGTGAAGAACTAAACAACCTTTCCCAAGTTGTGTTTCTTACACCATAATTATACCATTTCTTTGAACAAACCATTAAATCTGTATGTAAATGATTATAGGCTATGTTTCCCTCTTTGATGACTAACACATTAAAAGCCCTGAAACATTACTAATAGAGCTTTCTGCAATGGTGAAAATATTCTAGAACTGTCTAATAAGATAGTTGCTAGCCACATATAGCCACTGAGCACTTGAATTGTGGCTGCTGTATCTAAAGAATGAACTTTTTGTATTAATGTTAAGCAACTATAATTATAATTAAAATAACCCCATGTGGCTAGGCACTACTGTATTGGACATTGCTGCTCTAAAAGACTTGTGGTTAGGAAATATATTCAGTTAATTCAACCCCAGGTAGCTCAGACTAATTTGTTTGTTGACTTGTGTGTTTGCATATAACATCTTTAGTTTACAAAGTTGGAAAATGTTGCACTGAACATTCTTTCTTTACTTACTCCTTTCTTTCCCTGGCCCTCAAACTTGGTGCAAGCCAACAAAACTCTTTTCCCCCCGGCCTCTGGCACACAACCCCCATGGGAGAAGAGATAGCCTTTGCCAAGAACCAGCGTCTGCATTCCAGTAAAGTGCTGTTCTGGCCAAAATAGGTATTTATAACTTTTGCCATAAGGAAATTGAAGTTATTGGAGCAAATTCTTAACTTCCAACTGCTTTTCAACAGCAGGTGCCTCTTCTGATTCACAAGGTTATCAGTACTGTCTATACTTGGTCAGTGACAGTCACCTTGCTGTAGATAACATTTTAAAAGTGAGTGCATAATCGTATACAATTAAATATGCTTCGAGAAGTGCAAGAAAGTTAGTTTCATCAGGCCTGATGTTATAAAAAGCAGGTAGTGAGAAGCATTGCTAATCTTTAAAACATGAGGCCATACCCTATTGTTTCAATGTTAAATTTATATTTCTTCCAGCTTGTAAATGTTCCATCAATAAAAGATTAAGCAGCAAATAAACTGGGACTTAATTAAGGAGATCATGCTGCAGAGTTTTATTTATTCACACGCTTCAGTAACCCAGTTCAATCTTTTACTTAGAAATCCAATCTTTTAATACCAGTAAAGTCAAGCTTTTTCCAGCTCAATTATTAAGATCAAGAGTCTTTACTGGTGACATTTTAAAATAATTTCAAATACGGGTATGGAAGCTAAACATTAAAATCACAACAAAACTCTCAAAAATTCCAGAAAGAAAACAAAAGTTCCTTTCTTCCTAATTAGATTAGTGATAAATTCAATTGGACAAATATCTTCGAGAGCTTTATGAAAGGTGTTAGATGAAACACAGATGAATTACCAAAGCCACCTGTCCTCTCTACTCCTGATAAAGGTGTTTCCTTTGAGGACAGCATTGTGGCCTACCCTTGGAGGGAGGTGGGTATTCTTTAAATGTCCTTTCAGGAGTCTGAGAGCCTGGCTTAGGAGAGCTGCATAGAAAATAAAAGTACACACCCCTCTTTGATAATGGACAACTAACGTCTTTGGGTTTGTGGTTTGGAGGATTTACATAGTCATTCTTTATTACCTTTACAGGTAGATAAGGAGCTTTGTATCTCCCCAAAGACCTAAAAGAACAATAGAGGAATGGAGATGGATGCTGTAACCCTCTAGAATTAGAGGAGCACAGACCGAGTACATTTTGAGAGAAGACTTTAGGTGATCTTGTTGATGACACTGTGCAGTGTAGATGGGTGTCAGTAGTCAAATAAGTTTGGAATATTTATAACCAAACCTTACAAAAGTGCCTGGAGACCACACTGGTTAACAACATAGGCTCCAGATCAGAGAAACCTGAGTATGAATCCAGTTCATTGCCTCCAGCTTGTAAACTTGGGCAAATTACTTGACATCTCTGAGCCTCAGTTTTCCCATCTGTAAAATGAGAAAGATAACAGTATCTACCACATGGTGGTGTTGTATGAAATAATGCACAAAAAGCATTTAGGGCCAAAAAGCATTTAGGGCTGGGCACGGTGGCTCATGCCTATAATCCCAGCACTTTGGGAGGCTGAGGCAGGTGGGTCACTTGAGGCCAGGAGTTCAAGACTAGACTGGCCAATATGGTGAAACTCTGTCTCTACTGAAAACCCTGTCTCCACTGAAAAAAGTAGCTGGGCCTGGTGGCACGCACCTATAATCCCAACTACGCAGGAGGCTAAGGGAGGAAAATCGCTTGAACCCAGGAGGCGGAGGTTACAGTGAGCTGAGATGGTGCCACTGCACTCCAGCCTGGGCATCAGAGCAAGACCTTGTCTGAAAAAAAAAAAAAAAAAAAAAAAGAAAAGAAAAAGAAAAGAAACAAACAAACAAACAGTGTGGTGCCCAGGACAAGAAACTGTAGTTTCTATTATTTGCAAAATAAAGGCTCCCAAAGGTCTTATGGTAAAAATACTTGCTGACTTTGAATAGTTTTCCTTTTGGGAGGAAGAGGACCTGGAGGCATACACACCTAAAAATATAAAACACTGGTTTTGTGTGCAGTACAGGTGAACTCCTAGCCCTCTTCTTGATCACCATGGACTCTGTCACTTTAAGCACAGAAGAATTTGCAAGCACAGAGCAAGTACTGCAAGACCTCATTGAAAGAGGCAGTGATGATGACTGAATATTAGAATTTCTCTCTTACTAGATTTAAGTACCTTTCACTTTATTGCCTCTTTCACAGCAAATGAAAAACAAATACATGGCACCCCCTGAAGGCCCCTAAACTGAACCCACATGCACAGGAAGGAAAGCACTGGGGGGTGTTGTCAGACAAATTTGGGCAAGAGTGGAATAAATGATATGGGGGAAGATGCATTTGAAAATCTTGATATTGCTTTAGTATGCATGGTAGGTGTTACCATAATTAAAACACACAAAATGAAGCTTCAAATAAGGAAAAAAAATAAAATTCAATGTCAGAATTGGCATAGAGTCCATCACCTGTCACCACACTTAGAGTTGACCTCATAGCCTGATGAGTGTGTCAACTGGTGAGAACAGAGAACAAGTTTGTCTTCAGTGACAGCTTGATGAGATTACAGATGCAATATATGTATCTCTCTTTTTTTTTTCCTTTTGCCTTTTCCTAAAATCTCCTTTTCAAACCTTACATCTTTTTAAAGAAATTAGAGGGGTTAACGTGGTTCTTCCACAACCAAAAAAGAAAAGAAAAAAATTGGAAAAAAAAAGAAAAGAAACCCACCCGCCTCCTCCTGCCTACATACACACACAACACACTGGCCCACAAAACCTAGTGTCCTTGTGGGGGCATCCGACAAGGAAATCAGACATTTAACATGAAACCCACTCTATGTGAAATCTGTCTTCCTAGAACTTTCCTGAATTCCAAACAATGGCATGACAGCTTTGTTTTAGAAATCAAGACCTCTTAACTGCACGGTAGACGGCAGGGCACACCTAAGGGCTGAGAGTGCAAGGCAGGACACATCCACAGACTTGGACCATGACTGTGAGCATCTACCATCTGATGGACTAGGACATGCTGCAGGGCCACAGGACACCCAGACCGGAGGAGCGAGGGCTGAAGCTCTGAAGCCAGCTGCCAGGCAGGAGGAGGGTGTTGCTCACACTGCAGCAGCCATGGCCATTCCCCGGCACAAGAAGCACACTCAAGCGTAAGACATACCACTGGTGGTCCCCGTACCAGGGCCCGAGCCAGGTCCGGGGGACGAAACCACAGTCCTGTAGGTGGGTGGTGGTGGGGGAGGTGGAGTTGCTCTTTGTCCCAACCCAAAATCTTTAGGAGATGAGATTGTTTCTAAGTAATCATCTTTAATGAAGGTCTGCTCAGCGACTTTCTTCTGGACTTCTTCTAAATTGAGCGGCGATGGTACATTGCGAGGAGGCCCGGGAGGCCCTGGGGGGCCCATGGGACCTGGGGGGCCGAGAGGGCCTGGAGCTGGGGAGTCAGCTGGGTTGTCTGGTGTAGCTGGTGGGGACACCACTTTTTCCCTTGGAGTCAACTCCGGAGTAACATGTTCCGGGGACGTATCAGAAAAATGGACCCACTTTTCTTCAGCATTAACAGCAACAGACTTGGGGGACAATACTGGCCCAAAAATGCTGTCCAAGTCATTGATGGATGGTAGTTTTTCAATTTTGATCTCTGTGGCTGACTGGTCATTTCCTGTGGTTAAAGTAGTTGATTTTAAACTTTAATTGACTTATTATTTGTGTGGGGATTGAGGGAGGGAGTCAAAGACTGGAAAATACATTGCTGTGTGAGGTGCCTCAGTGGGCGTACTTCATGATGTAAAAATATCTTTATTGGATTAGGAGCCTAAGGTGAGGGGAAAGATCCCCCCTCCATAAAGTGAGCATCACATTTTTATGCTATTATTTACTCTTTTTCGCAAGCTGAGCACAAGCCAGCTACTTTGACCATCATGTAAAATGCCGTGCATGATACTGCTCTCAAAGGCTCCTCACAGGTGCACAAAGTATGATCATTTTGAGAAGTTAGTGTCAGATTCACAGAGAAGTACACGCTCTGGGACTGCAAATTCCAAAAGCAAGGTCCCTTCTGAAAATCTGACCTACTAAAATATACATCACACAACATAAAAAGAATTGAGAAGTGAAAGCTGGCCTCATATTTTATTAAGATTGTCTACTCTCGTATATTAAATCAAGACTTTGGTGAAACTGATTATAATATTTGTTAATTTAAAAAAGTGATCACATCATATTTAGCTGTATATCCTCAACCTTAAAAAACACCAGAAACACAGTGCAAAGATTAAGAAGATATCACCACAAAGATACTTACAAACACAGATATACACACCCCACACACAATACACACATAGATTATTGAGGAGGCATTTGCTACTTATTAGAACTGTCACATATATACCTGCTTAATAGGGAAGAAAATAATTTTAAAAATTTTAAGTAATTTATTTTCTCATTAAGTCTAACCTGTCAACATCATAGGCATAACTGTGATATTTATCTATAGGATGTCATGATACCGAAAAGTCTCTGTTTTGCTAAAATATTAGCATAAGCTATTCCTTCTAATTCATAGCAATAATAAGAGAAAAAATTAAAAACAGTCTTCTACAGCTCTGTATGAAGAACTGCACTTTTAAAAAACTGAGATTATTCACATTACAAATTGTTACCTAAACAACTGGAAGGCATGAGCAGAAGTCACTTTACCTTTATATAACTTTTGGACTATATGAGCCATCTTAGTATTTCTATATTTCTAGTTTGAAAGGAATTAACTTTCAAGGTTCCAAGCTGTAGATAAATGGGGAAGCATTTTGCATGGTCCACAATATTTATAATCTTGTGCTAGTAGGTATATTTATATCTAACACAATTTGTGGAAATACAAGGGGCCAAAATGTCTTGAACCTGCAAACATCTTTACTTACGAAGCTCTGGATGACTCTCTATTGGGTTTGAGTCAATATAAATTTCATAAATGACTACATCTTGCTTTTGCTTTTGTTGATGAATGCCATACTCTGCAGCTATCAAACTCACCAGGCTGCATAAATAGCAAAAGATGAAGCTGCAATAGAATTCCGAAGGTGATAAACAACCACATTCTAAGGGCCCAGGCACATAAAACAGCCATTACTACTTTTGACTTGCTAGTCTAGTAAGACTTGGCAGACTATAAGTTGTATGAATACATAGTATTGATTTTAATAGATGGTAAAGATATGCCTTAAGCATTATCTGTCTACAGGCATGTAGCAATTCCTTGCCGTATTTCATAGTCTTCACATATCTCTTTGCCATGGGATAATAAATACTTGAATGACCACTGGAAAAAGAATTTCCCCACCACCAGTATACTGCACACCCTAGGAACCATTTTATGTCTTCATAGACTAGATAGTTTCAGTCTTAGCAAAATTGTCTTGAAAAAATACCAATTGTGCTTTGAGATTATGAATTTGTAAATCATTAAAATGAGATCCAATGAAGTGAGGGGTTAATTAAACAATGACTTTCCATATTGAGTTTTTTTTTTCTTTCATTTTACAAAATGGCCCTCATTCAACAAAATTATACCAAGGAAAAATTAACTGAGAAATTATTACTATTTTTTTGTGTGAAACCTGGAAGTGGTGCTTTAAAATAAATCTGCATAAGAAATTCTAATAGAAGCAAAACTAAATGTCAACATTGTAATGTTTTTGTGTAGCCTACAGTTTTCAACACATCAAGGGCATGTTCATCCAGGGCCACTTCTCTGTTTGACACGTCATCCCAGAACTGAAAAAATAAAAGCGTACCTGGTCCAATTGTTAAAGGGGATCCTGTTCGGGGTGGGGTAGCTGGTACATTTTTTGGAGGCAGTGGTGGAGGTGCTGCAAAGAGATAAGAAATCAAGTATCATTGGTCATGTTCTTCCTAAGCTATACAACACACTTTAAATAAGCAGCATTTGGGCTTTCAGTTATATTCCTGCTATTGGAAATGGAATAGCAATCAATGGTCTATTTGTTTAAACTTCGAAGCCAAAGAACTGAAGCAGAACCCATTCAGATTCTTCCATTTTATGAGAACAAGAGAATGTCAAAAGAATGTTGGACATTAATAATAATATCACCATTTTATTCATTTAAATATGATTCAACACACAAACCTCAAGCGACAACTATGTCCTACCTCCTGTACTAGGAACTAGGGTCATAGGGTTGAATAAAAATAGCCTCTGGCCTCAAGGGATTTATGACTGACTGAATGAACTCATGTTAGCTGACAGTTACAGTCGAGGGTTTGATAATGGAAATAACAGGTTGGGTGGGGGCTCCTGTGAGGGGTTTTTAATCCAGTCAGGATCTTAGTGTCCGGATTGAGTTGGGAAAGATTTCTCAAAATTATATTTCTTAAATTTTAGTACATTTTTTAAAGTTAGAAGCAAACTAACTCCTTGGGTCAAGGAAGAATGAACAGATTCCTTTGACAAAAATTACAGCCAAAACAAGTATCATGGTCCCTACGAAGAGATTCACCCTTCTGAGTTGGACTTGTCAACTTTCTGTGCAAAGTTTGAAATTACTGTTTCAATGGGTTCATTTCTTCTTCTTCTTTCTTTCAGTGTATGTTTTCTTGTCACTGGCCCTATTTGGTAGATTCAAAGAGTTCACACTAATTCAATAGGCCATCCCAAAGTTTAGCTGTGAATCTGAATGCCGTCCACTCTCTCATAACCTAAACGCAGAGGGAGGCAGGTGGGCACATGGCTGGGGAGTGCTTGCTGGTGCCTTCCACTTGACTAAATTAGGAAGAAGCTTTTCATGTCATTCCTCCCTCCTCCTCCCCTTCCCGTACTTTATTTATTATTTTTAGGTAGCATCCTGTTCTTCCACACAATAAGTATGACTAACAACTCTCATTCTAAAGCCTAGGAATAGGTGGTTCTTAATCTTAGTTATGAGCTTCTGAAAACTACACCTCTAGTGAATCATATTTTCCCACAGAAGTTAACAGTCAATCAGGGGCTCTGCTCCTGATTAAGGATCTCTGCCAAAAATCAAGGTCATAATCAACAAAATACGATAAAAACAAATAAAATACTATAAAAGCCTACTAAGCTAAAATAGAAAACATATGCTGCAACTACAAAATGAGCAGAATGGTACAATGCACATCAATTAAACAACAGGCTGCATGGTGCTAAGTGCAACCACAGCACTTAAGACTCACAACTCTGAAATACCAATAGTTAAAACCAATACATCATCCCCATAAACAATTCACTTACTTTCTTGGCATTTAGGAGAGGGTTTTCTAGGGATCACTTGTATAGCTCAGGTCTGTAAAGAAAGCTTTTCAAAGAAGTTACAGCTTTTTCACTGGTTTTGTTTTGCAGGGAAAAGCATTCAAAATCATGCCACTGTGGTTCAAATATTTTAAAAATATGTTTTTCATGGCCGGGCGCGGTGGCTCACGCCTGTAATCCCAGCACTTTGGGAGGCCGAGGCGGGCGGATCACAAGGTCAGGAGATTGAGACCACGGTGAAACCCCGTTTCTACTAAAAATACAAAAAAAAATTAGCCGGGCGCAGTGGCGGGCGCCTGTAGTCCCAGCTACTCAGGAGGCTGAGGCAGGAGAATGGCGTGAACCCGGGAGGCGGAGCTTGCAGTGAGCCGAGATTGCGCCACTGCACTCCAGCCTGGGTGACAGAGCGAGACTCTGTCTCAAAAAAAAAAAAAAAAAAAAAAAAATATATATATATATATATGTTTTTCAAAGTTCAGAAGTTTTTAAAAAATTGTTGATAATGATGTTTTTCCTATCCTGTTTAATGAGAGAAACATCTTTGGAAAGGCTAGATCACATGGCTTTATAGCAATAATATTTCCAACAAACAACCTCTCAGCCTTTGATTATGAATCCCCTCGGTTAATTCTCAGGATCATGTTTAGGCACCAAGGTGCAAGCTCTGGAGATACTGAACTGGAAAAAGTATTAGTTGGTCTGTATGTGAGCCCAAAGGAGCAAAAATACCCTCTGCATCTCCCTCCTCCCAAAACGCATCTTTTTGAAATCCAGTTCTCCAAAGAGTGCCTTCCACAGGCGGCATGCTTCAGAGGCAGTATACTGAAAAGGGAATTCAATAAATCTGTAAGAAGGGTGGCTTTGCCTGATGAACCATCCATTCAGTCCAAATAGCCCAACCCATCACCGGTGAAGGGCTATCTAGATCTTCAGGACCTCCTTTCCCAGCCACCTGGGTCATGCTGGAAGAAGCCAGACCGATGGCAACTTTCACATACATTTACTCTGATCTACTGTCTCAGCTTCTGTCTACCATATAGCCTCAGTTCTCTTGTTCCCCAATTGTCACTCTTTTCTATCAATGTGTTCTTTCTGTCCCGTGTAGCCTCAGTTGTTCTATAGGATGAGCAGAGACCATATCAGACTTGTTCACCTCTGTGTTATATGATAGCTTAATGCCCGGAACGCAGTAGTTTCTTTAGCTCACTTGCTTCTTATTCTTACATATATACAATGAATAAATGAATGAATAAGCATGTGGGATTTCAGAAAAGGCTATGACTCAAGGTTAATAATTTGCTTTATTGTATTATTTTCTTCCTGTCTTCATAAGCTGCCCTGAGTTCTTTAACTTGAAAGTCTGTTAGAATAACATCTCTTCTTAATATTATTCAGTTCTAACGTTGCTTACGTAGACTTTCTAAGAGTTGCCTATGCATGTTTCACTATGCAGACAGACAGTAAAATGAGTCACTTATTTTTCCAGACAGAGCAGACACGTAACTTACTTCCAGTGGGAAAAGGCCTTGTTAACTTTGGCGACTCCATGCTTGGATTAATTGGTTGGCCTGAACCCCATATCTCAGGCTGGTCTAAAAGAACTGGAAACAAAAAAGAAGATTTCCCAGGGAGAATTAAAAAAAATCCCCATACTTTAGAACTTAAAATTTCAATTTCAATTCGAACTTTACAAAATTATTTTCCTCTTGTCTCAGTACTAAAACATTAATTTAGGAATGTGCTGCTCCTTATTCTTTTCAAGCAGAGAATAGAAATAGGAGTGTGGTGAGAGTGTGGGTGGGAGGAGTATCTGTGTGTGTGCATATAGCTACATAAAAACTTTCAGAGCAGAATCTGCATTTTCTTCCTGGGTGGTCACTTAAGGACATTCTGAGTATCAGTACATGTACTGGCTCTGTTTCAGGTACCCATTTGAAAATCCAGACATTAACCCCATGAACACTTGTTTTGTTGTAAGTTCGTTTATTTAAAGCCTCCTATGAATATGCTTCAAAACCGAAATGCCTGCATTCTATGCAGTGGTTCCTATCCTTGAAGGGTTCTACAGGGTTTTTACATAAACCTTTTACAGCATCATAAAAAGAAATTAAAAACGCTTGGTGAATATGTTAAAAGAACCAGAAAAATGAGTGCTTAGACGTTTAACATAGGGCAATTAGGTTTTGGGCCTAAGGACACTGAATTTAACATTTCTTCTCTTTCTTTCTGCTTTCTGTTCTGATTTTTAAAAATAGCTATGACAATGCAAATAGTTAGTGCTTCTCAGCCCCTATCCTGTGGCAGGGACTATGCAAGTACTCCTGTCATTCATTATGTCGTCTAGGACAGGATGAGAAGTCAGTTGGATGCGGTTTGAATCTATCCTCTGCACTGACTGTAGGACCTTGGCAAGTTGCTTAACCTCTCTGCGCTGCCTTCCTTTAGTGTAAAGTGGAGATAATAAAAGCAACCTTAGGGAGTTATGAAGAGAATTAACAGATGAAAGATATATTAATATAGTATATATAAAATGTATATAAAACACATATCACAAGGCCAGCAGCTATTACTATCTATTCGAATACTCACACCACCACCATGTGGTTGAGACCAGTACCACTTGTGGGAGAGGAAACTAATGATTGGAGTGGTTTAATGAAGTGTCCATGGTAAAAACAGAAGAGCTAAGATCTGATGCAGCAGACCTAACTCTAAAATACATATTTTTTTCCCCAGACCATTTCAACTAGTGATAGAAAAATCTTTCTAGGTCAGGCACGGTGGCTCACAGCTGTAATCCCAGCACTTTGGGAGGCTGAGGTGGGAGGGTTACTTGAGTCCAGGAGTTCGAGACCAGCTGGGCAACATGGTGAGACCCAGTCTTTACAAAAAGTACAAAAATTAGTCAGGTGGGGTGGCATGTGCCTGTGATCCCAGCTACTCGGGGGGCTGAGGCAGGAGGATCGCTGTGGGAGGTCGAGGCTGCATTGAGCTAAGAACTTGCCACTATATTCCAGCCTGGGTGACAGTGAGATCCTGTCAAAAAAAAAAAAAAAAAAAAAAAAAAAAAAAAAAAGGAAAACAGAAAGAAAAAGATAAATCGATCTAATGAAGAATGAGTAGATACGAAAGGGAAGTGTGGGTATTGAAAAAGCTAGTGTGTCTGGTGCAAAGGCAGGAACTTTACAGAAGTTCAGGGGCTGAAATCATCTAAAGAACAATTGGAACAATTGAGGCCACAATCACAGACAGGTCTAGGTAGGTATCTCCTCTCCACCACAGGCCTCAGAGGTGGTCTTCGCTCTGTTTAACATGAACGCAAACATTCTCCAAAGATATGAAGCAGCATTTTCTTCATGAATTCAATGTGGAGCACAGCTTTGATTTTTAAAGAATGATTTCTATTCTTTATATAAAGTTTCCATATAGTTATGGGATTCCTTAAACGGGCAGATTTAGGTGCAACCAATCAAATCCCCTCTCCAGTAACCATACAATATGTCATTAAAAGTGAGACTGATAGTAGATGAGTTAATAAGGAAACTGATAGCCTCACTGCAAGGCCACTTTTACATAGGGATTCTAAGTTATGGGCATTTATATCACTAAAGGAGTATTTAGAAATGTTCTTTGTACATTTTCCTAACAAAATCATTGAAAATATTCAGGTGTGGCTGACTGATGGCTGTCTCCCAGAATTCATTCTCCAGTTCTTCTATAGTAACAGAATTTTAGCTGGCTACATGGCACCCAATTCTCTCCAGTGGGGTTTGGCAGGAAGTGATCTGTGTCTCTTCTAGTTTTGCTCTTAGAATAGTTAGCAGTGAGTTCCAGTGGTCCTCACCCCACTTCCTCTCTTCTGAATGGGAGAGGAGGAGAGCTACAGCAGCCACCTTGGAGCCAGAGATAACAGTAACATTTTAAAGACAGCAGAGCTACTTTACCAGTCCTATATTGTTTACTTCTAGACTGTTAACATGAAAGAGTAATAAGATTCCATCTTGTTTAATTTATTGTACTTGAGGTCTCTTTGTTAATGTAGCTTATTCTACCCATTATGCTTCTAATTCTTGCCATCTTTAACACTTAAGACCTTCACCAATAGATCCTAGAAAGATAATATGTTATTATACATTTACCATGGTGCCCCTAAGTCAAATAATTTTTATAAAAACTTTCTATGTTACCAAACATAGCTACTGGAGATACATGCATTAGACGTAAACACATTTCGGGAATAGATAAGATGCATTTTATAGAGAGTTGATTTTATATCAGTAAAGTACACAGTATTTACAGCCATCCAAAGACATGGTTAATTTTAAAAAGTTAAATCTTTAACTCTAGGAATAAATATTTACTAGGTAAACTCAAAAATAATGGCAAAAATAAAGATATTCCTTCAGTAGCGTTTTCTTTTTCTTTTTTTTTTTGAGGTAGGGTCTTGCTCTGCTGCTCAGCTGGAGTGCAATGGTGTGATCACAGCTCCCTGCAGCCTTGACTTCCTGGGCTTAAGTGAACCACCCACCTCAGCCTCCCAAGGAACTGGGCCTACAGGCATACACCACCATGCCCAGCTAATTAAAATTTTTTTTTTGTAGAGATGGGGTCTCCATATGTTGTCCAGGCTGGTCTCGAACTCCTGGGCTCAAACAATCCTATCTCAGCATCCCAAAGTGTTGGGATTGAAGGAGCGAGCCACCACGCCTGGCCTTGTTTCTAAGTTTCTAAATGATTCAAGGTCATTCCTGGGTCTTCAGGCAGCAAACAATGACTGTTGTGAGCAATCCAACTGAAGCCTTCATTATGAGGTGGGAAAGAGCAAATGTGGTCAGGGAGGCTAGATCCCAACGACAGTGGCAATGACGGGTGTATGAAGGTCTGTCTCCATTTGTGATTCTGTTGATACCTCAAATGATGATGGTCTGGTTCCCAGAGTGTTTACTCTGTGACAGGGATTTGTGTAGATTTGCAGTAATTTTTACTGACTTCTTTTGAAGAATGAGCTTGTTAGTAATGTTTCAAATCCTAAAATAATACAGATTTGCAAACTAAACTTCTGTTCTTGACAGCACACCTGTATTGAAACTTTTCTTTCCCATGAAGATAATATATTTAAAATATACCTCAAAGTACATACATTTTATCTAGAAAAGCTGTACTTCAATAAAAGAAAAAACAAATCTATAATATATGGAGTTTCTTTTCCTACCTTCTGTCTTCTGTTCATCAAAAGCTGATTCTAGTGGTGGGCCAAAGAGAGGAGCAAGGGCCGTAGTGTCATCAGGAGGCTTTTTGCTAAATCACACACATTAAGGCAAAATACAGAGAAAGGGCTCAAAAATTAATACTCAAAAAGGTATACAAACTTTCAAATATTTTTCTCAGTAAAACAAGTGTGTGTGTGCACTAGTGTATACAAGCCCCGTTAGGACCAGAAAGTATTTTATAAGGATGTCAGATGTATTATGGGACAAAAGAATTCATAGAAGGTGAGATCCTTAGTTCTCAGTGGAGAACTGAGGTGCTCATCCAATAGAAATAAGTTGAAGGAGAATAACTCTTTCAAAGCATCCTGATTCTCTATACCTAGAAGAGATAATACTAGAGCTGAGTTTACTGCAAAGCACCTTTCTCTAAGACCTCAAGTACCATTTATATTTGATTTCACCACATCTCTGTGTTGTAGTCAATGCAGTTTATAATTAGTGAAAGTCAAGCATAGGGATATTAGGTAAAAAGCCACCGAGAAGTTTCATCCTCTAATAGACTAGTTGTAACCTCCTAATACCCCAATACAGTAAATCTCAGAAAGAGAAGTATTATGAAATCAGGGGAAAACAGGAGGATAAGTTAAAGTTGCATCCTTTCTCTTAATTATTACTCCAGACTGATTATTAAGAAAATGATGCATAATTATCTTCATTTCTTCTCCAAATCTGATTCCCCTCATTGATCCCAATGAGGTCTATATGGTATGGTAAGGGGCAAGGGGTGAAGAGGAGAGGGGAGAGGTTGGAGGAGGATAAAGATTGAAAATAATTCAGCTTTTAAATAGAAATAGCAGTCTTTTTATAAAACAATGCCCATTTGCACAATACTTACCTAACCCACAGAATACACTGTAAAATACAATGCTTTGCCAAAAATTAAAAACAGATAGGAAGATTCCTTTGGTGGGTGGCAGGTGGAATGCATCATGAGATGGTATCCAACTAAAAAGGCTTATTTTTGTAGGGCAATATAATAATATTGAAGATCAGCATTCCAGACACCAAAAGACCTCTTTAGAGAGAACTTTAGCTGTGCCATCAGGAAGGGGCCTGCACATTCTGATAGACAGTTACTTCAGATAAGTGCAGAATATTTCCCTAAAGGTCTCCCTTGGGCTGCACTTTTCAAAAATAATAACATATTTGACCATGATATGGATATACGGACTGACATATTTTGGTAGAGCCTTTGTTAATGGGAGCTGAGAGTTTAGCTCAAAGGAGATTTGCTTGATTGTTAAAAGTTCATGATGCCTTGCATAAAACACAACTAATGTCTTTCACACTCACCTTATAAGTTCTGGAGTTGGTGTGGAGCGCCTGGGTCTTGCCACTTCTTCACCTGATGCACAGGACAAAGGAACTTTTTAGACATATTTTTACCATTCCCTGATATGTCTTATAACCTACATTTGGAAACACTTAGAGATTTAAGTCCCATCAATAAGCAACTCAGTATGAAAACTTTGCAAAACAAACCTTCTCTCCTGGCAATGCAACAGCCATATATTAGGCATATGTAGTGGTGTTTTCTCTGGCATTTGTAAAACCTCATTAACTAAGGAACTTCCGTGACAAGCCATCAAATAGAAGATCTGGATAGTGCAGCACTTAGTGAAAGAGCACACCATTCTTGGAATGTCTGCTGCCTTGACTGGTTCTGCTTTCCAATGAAGAGAATACTAAGCCAGGCCATATGTGTAGGACATGAATCCAGCATTCTCTGCCTGTTCTTTTCTTAAAATGCCAAGAAAATGTTGTATCTTTAACTATGACACATGAATTTAGAATTTCCTAGGATGTGTTGTATGCAGCAGAGGAGAATTGTGCCCTATGTGTATTATAACCTATATCATATCGCTTTGGTTGACCAAAATTTTCATATCAAATAACACAAGAATGGGTAAGTTGCTTCTACTTTCAGTTCCTTCTGCCCGCCTGTTCTTCCCACCCCCAGCAACAAATACACACTTGATTAAATTCATTTCTAAAGTTAAATAATACAGCAAGAGTTGACAAATATAGAAAGAAAATAGCAATGCTTTTCCAAAAACATATTTATTTTCAGAACTTAAACATTAACCACTCAGAACCCACAGGGGCCCTCTATCATTACAAGAATTCTTTGCTGTAAAAGTAAAAAATTTGTAAGTCTTAAAAATTAAGCCCAGGAATGCATAATTCATATGCATATATACTCCAAGATCCAAGGAACTGTTCTTTCTTTTAAATCATACGCTATTTCTGGTAGCTAAGATATACTTACTGGATAAGTTCCTTTTAATTGCACCCTAGAATTAGAAATAGACACTATAAGGTTTAAGACCACATATATGTTATGTACAATATGTATTATTTCTGTCATTGCAATTAAACTGAACTCAAATAAATGCAGATAGGGAAATGAAATTTTTCTCAGAACCGCATTTAAGTAGGAAATTGTAGGTATACACACAGAAATCAGTTTTTTTTATTTCATTCAAAGATTATAGAGAGGAGGGAAGGGTAAATCATAAGTCTTCTGAACAAGAAAAACCCCTTACCTGGGTAGATTTGGTAAATTAAATTCAAATATTGAATAGGCCATTTAAAAAAACCTCTTAAACTCTAGTAGATAAGAAAGTAAATCGAAGTTTAGCATATGTTTGATGCTTAAAAATTACAGAGTGTATTTAGGAGTAGTGCATGCTCCTTGTCAGGTGGGGTCCCCAGGTTGCTAATGGAAACAGTCATCAGTTTACAAATGTGATTTTAACAGGTATAGGTGGCAAGTGTAAAAGGCAAGGGAAACTTGAGCCATCTGCCATTGAATGAACTGTTTTATTCAGAAAGTCAGGGAATTCCACCCTATGCACTCATCCTCCCAATTTATTTCACTTGCCGGCCACTAGGCCCATCGATTCGTGAATTGGAAGTAATGTCTTGTGTTCAAGACATCGTGATATTATTGGAATACAAACAGCCCTGGCAGGAATAATCTGAGCACCTCATCTCCAGTTTTTATAATGCCTTAGCATAAACTTATTTAGATAGTAGAAGGATTGATTAGATAAAAAGTTTTGATTAAAAACCAGAAGTTGTGAAAAGTTCTCAGCATGGATGCCACCAGAAAAGTAGACCACGAGGATGGCTGCATCGTGGGGTAGAGCATGGCTTGGGATGCCTGCCATAGGAGAATGACAGGGGCAGAGTTGAGGACAGGGAAAGCCGAAGTACATATAAGAAAGCATTCCAAAAGGTGAGACCATGAACACATTTGTTGGATGGCCACCAAACACATTTTTTTCCTCTTTTTAATTTTAGTGAAGGCTCAATTTGGTGGTCACGGATACATTTTCTTCTCTCAAAGTATAACATTAACAGCTTAGGACAAGATTTAGCGCCTCTGTAATCGACCTATAAGAAGCTTCTTTCCCTTGTTCCTAAGGCTGCATCAGCATTTTTTGTCCAATTTTGAACCCATTTATGCTAAAGGAGCAGTTTCAATCTGAACAAGGATCCATTTGATGCTTTCTCAGTCTCTCAAACTACATTTTCTGGCTTGTTTTGTCTAATAATGTGATCTGTTTTTCTCTACTAAGTGTGCCATATAGAGAATTACTACATTATTTATAAATACTTTCTAATAAATATGGCCACGTAAATCTGCCGAGGACATTATGGAAGTTTGGATACAGGTTTACTTTTGGAAAAGAAGGCTCTGTAGACAGAAATGATTAGATAACATAAATAATTAGATAACAGATGTTTTTCTGGGTTATGAACTGTCAGATAGAATTTCATTAATAAGATCTGAAGGGAAAAAAGAGGGCCTTTAGTTCCAAGCACTCAATCACAAGATTAATAAATAGCATTGAGGGAACACAGCCCACCTAGTACTGTGAGGCCTAAAACCCAGGAGGTCCCAGAGACTGTATTGAAGACCTCTTTGTCCCTCTGTCCTACTCCTTCAAATGTTAATATCCATGAAACCAAGAAAGGTACAGAGCTCCTTTTGTAGTCATCAATTCCCATGGGTGTCAATTCATTCCTTAGATATTCACAGTTGAAAGGCACTAAAGAAGAAGCCCCTGTAACATTTTTATTAAATAGTCTTCACGAATGAACAATCCCAAGTTAAGTGCAACCAACACATGGCAGAAGTATTCAAGAAAACTCTATTGTTTAGAAATTAGGAAGAGCAAAGCTAGTATCAATTTAGAAAGCAACAAATGTTTGAAAAATCAGCAGCAAGTCAGCAGCAACAGAAAAGAAAGTCCTGCTGTCTGCTGGATGGGCATACAGGTCTCTGATGACCTTAATGTTGCAGCATGACATATTTAGAAAAAGACTGAGGTGATGTTGACCACACAAACCACATTCAGGAAAAAAAGCCCATTGGATTCAAAAACCTCCCCTTGTCAAGTGACTGTATTTTCCCCCTTTCAATGCTTGTTTGTTGTTATATGTATGTCGTGAATAAATTTCCTCACTTTGAATAACTGAATTCACTCTTTTCATAATCTGTGATGTCACTTAACAGCTGGGTTGGAATCATCCATAGATTAGCGGTCTCTGCAGATACCGTCTTTCAATGGCATTAGCTATGTAGTTTAGCAGAGAACCACCAACTGGTCACCTGGGGCAGGGTATTTGCATCAAATAATAATTGACTAATTGGATTGGCACAGGCCTAGGGATATTTCAGAGAGGCTGTTTTCAGTTCCATTTCCTCTCTTAAGGGACTGACCAGGTAAATGAGTATCATTTCAAACATAACAAAGACCCTTCTTTTTGTTGCTTTAAATTCATGATACTCTTCAGCCGGGCGCGGTGGCTCATGCCTGTAATCCCAGCACTTTGGGAGGTCAAGGCGGGTGGATCATGAGGTCAGGAGATTAAGATCATCCCGGCTAACACGATGAAACCCCGTCTCTACTAAAAATACAAAAAATTAGCTGGGTGTGGTGGTGGGTGCCTGTAATCCCAGCCACTCGGGAGGCTGAGGCAGGAGAATTGCTTGAACTCGAGAGGCGGAGGGTGCAGTGAGCAGAGATCATGCCACTGCATCCAGCCTGGGTGACAGAGTGAGATCCATCACAGAAAAAAAAAAAAAAATTCATGATACTTTTCAACTTGAGGAAAATGACAGTTTCCATTTTGAACAATACAAATTAATATTGGTCTACCCTCCCAAATTTTGTCTTCTGTGATGAAATTTATTTAGAATTATGTGATAGCCTAGGAATAATGACTTGAAAGTGTGTCTCCCTCTCCCAAGATGGAAATTATAATGATGTATCAGCATATTCTGATCATTGTAAGTTATGTTGCAGGAACATATTTTGAATTCAGGCTTAAAAACAATGATAGCTTAAAAATGGTGTCCTTACATTCTTAATAGTTTTATTATTCTTTATTATCTCTTTGCTATCAACTTCTATGGTACTTTCTGGTGAACTAGGCCTTTTATGTACACACACACACACACACACACACATACACACACACATTCCATATATTTTCCAAATTTAGTACTAGGAGTTGAGATTCCCATGTATTAGTTTAGTTAGTTATGGGAAAGTGCTCTGACAATTCTAAAATATGCCCTTGGTACTTAAGAGGGTCAGAGGCTTTCAATCAGTAAACCTGTTTCATCTGCCTCACTCACACTGGGTTATCATAAATTTAATGGGAAACCAACCTGGCCACCTTGCCTTGGCAGCAATTTTCTCTATACATGTTTAAGGTAAAAATGTTGAGAGTTCTTACCGGGCTGCGCCTCTGTGATCAGCAAAAAGGAAGAGAGAACAGACACCTAGTCAGAGAATGATGGATCAGTCAAAAGTCTTGGGTAATAGAAAACTTCATAAGCAGCTAACCAAACATACACTCCAGAGAATCAGGCCAAAGGAAGACAGGCAGTCCTAGTGTTTAGGGCTTATTTAAACCACAGGAGGCATTGGAGAACCTTAAAGAGAGGATATCCGTTGTACAATACAGCTTTGCTAAGGTGGATATGTAAGTTTTAGTTATGTGTACATAAGAACAAGGCAGAAACATACAAGAAAACTTTACTAACAATGTTTAATGTCTTGCCATAGAAGTTTTTCTCTAGAAAGTTTGAGGAGGGGGTACTTAGAGAATAGAGAAGTAAACTGTTTCCCTACAGAGCAGGATGTTAGCAAATATAGACAATAATGCATTTTTCACGTAGTTAGGGTACAAAAAGAGCTTACAAAAAACCAGAGGCAGGATTTAGAGAGCACTTGTCCTTGTCTGGAATTTTTCTTTGGTGTTCTATGGAAGGTGTGCTTATAAGGATACTTTTGTGTTGAACGTTCTTGGCCTAGTGATTTGGGCGGCCTCTACCAATGTCATGTCAATGATGAGAATGTGATGGGAAAGATGAGGAGGCCCTCACAAACATAGTTGGGAATGATGAAAACTGTCCAGCAGCAACAGAACCCTGGTGGACCACATGACCTTAGAAAACACAAAATCAATGTGCAAAAATCACAAGCATTCCTATACACCAATAACAGACAAACAGAGAGACAAATCATGAGTGAACTCCCATTCACAATTGCTACAAAGAGAATAAAATACCTAGGAATCAAACTTACAATGGATGTGAAGGACCTCTTCAAGGAGAACTACAAACCACTGTTCAACAAAATAAAAGAGGACACAAACAAGTGGAAGAACATTCCATGCTCATGAATAGGAAGAATCAGTATCGTGAAAATGGCCATACTGCCCAAGGTAATTTATAGATCCAATGCCATTCCCATCAAGCTACCAGTGACTTTCTTCACAAAATTGGAATAAAACTACTTTAAAGTTCATATGGAACCAAAAAAGAGCCCTCATTGCCAAGACAATCATAAGTAAAAAGAACAAAGCTGGAGGCATCACACTGCCTGACTTCAAACTATACTACAAGGCTACAGTAACCAAAACAGTACAGTACTGGTACCAAAACAGAGATATAGACCAATGGAACAGAACAGAGCCCTCAGAAATAACACCACACATCTACAACCATCTAATCTTTAACAGACCTGACAAAAGCAAGCAATGGGGAAAGGATTCCCTATTTAATAAATGGTGCTGAGAAAACTGGCTAGCCATATGTAGAAAGCTGAAACTGGATCCTTTCCTTACAACTTATATAAAAATTAATTCAAGATGGATTAAAGACTTAAATGTTAGACCTAACACCATAAAAACCCTAGAAGAAAACCTAGGCAATACCATTCAGGACATAGGCATGGGCAAGGACTTCATGACTAAAACACCAAAAGCAATAGCAACAAAAACCAAAAGAGATAAATGGGATCTAATTAAACTAAACAGCTTCTGCACAGGAAAAGAAACTACCATCAGAGTGAACAGCAACCTACAGAACGGGAGAAAATTTTTGCAATCTACCCATCTGACAAAGGGCTAACATCCAGAATCTACAAAGCACTTACACAAATTTACAAGAAAAAATCAAACAACCCCATCAAAAAGTGGGCAAAGGATATGAACAGACACTTCTCAAAATAAGACATTTATGCAGCCAACAGACACATGAAAAAAATGCTCATCATCACTGGTCATCACAGAAATGCAAATCAAAACCACAATGAGATACCATCTCACACCTGTTAGAATGGCAATCATTAAAAAGTCAGGAAACAACAGATGCTGGAGAGGATGTGGAGAAATATGAACACTTTTACACTGTTGGTGGGAGTGTAAATTAGTTCAACCATTGTGGAAGACAGTGTGGCAATTCCTCAAGGATCTAGAACTAGAAATATCATTTGACCCAGCGATCCCATTACTGGATATATACCCAAAGGATTATAAATCATGCGACTATAAAGACACATGCACATGTACGTTTATTGCGGCACCATTCACAATAGCAAAGACTTGGAACCAATGCAAATGTCCATCAATGATAGACTGCATTAAGAAAATGTGGCACATATACACCACAGAATACTATGCAGCCATAAAAAAGGATGAGTTCATGTCCTTTGTAGGGACATGGATGAAGCTGGAAACCATTCTGAACAAACTATCTCAAGGACAGAAAACCAAACACTGCATGTTCTCACTCGTAGGTGGGAATTGAACAATGAGAACACTTGGACACAGGGTGGGGAACATCACACACCAGGGCCTGTCGTGGGGTAGGGGGAGGGGGGAAGGATAGAATTAGGAGAAATACTTAATGTAAATGACGAGTTAATGGGTGCAGCAACCAGCATGGCACCATGTATACATATGTAACAAACCTACACGTTGTGCAAATGTACCCTAGAACTTAAAGTATGATAAAAACAACAACAACAACAACAACAACAACAACAAACACAACAAGCAAATGTATGACTTCTTCCTTTCGCTTTTCAAATCTTGATTATGGCTGCTATCAATTTATTACAACAATCTCTGATAGCTCTGCCTCTTTAGGAGCTTTCTGATGTTACACGAGTGACTAGGATGTGAGTGGGGAAAGAGCTGTTCGTCAGTTTCCCTTTCAATATATGGGCTAATGCATGGAGTCACCAGAAGCTACCTCCCAAAACCAAAATGAGGAGCACAAACACAAAGAAAGTTAGGAGTTTGTTCAAATGTAGAGGATGTTCTTTCTAGAGCATAGATAGGAAGCAAAACTTGTAGCTTTTTACATCTGGGTAGGCCTCCATGGATATCTAGTCCAACTGGCTACATGCTATAGAGAGGAAGGTGAGGCTCTGAGATACACAGCTAGTAAGCAGGTAGAACCAGACAGAATTCAGATCCCCTGTTTCTCATTTTCTCATTCCTTCTATGATGCCAAGCATAGCATTGTTGAATGACTCCAAAAGCAGCAAGTCATTGTGATTAACATCCAGGAGTGGTTATTTTTCAGACAAGCTTATAAGTAGCTAGGATTCTAGACATATTATTCTAGACAATTTACTTGTAATATTACAGACTTTATTATTTGCCTTATTTTCCAGGTACTGCTACCTATTGAGTCCACCTTTCTTATAAACCTGCCTGGATGCACCTTAAATAAAATTGTAAAAAAAAAGGCCACATGAATACTTGTTTCTGGGCTTAAATTATCTTATTGACTAATCCATACTGTGTTTTGAGAAAAATTCAAACACTTTTATAAATGAAACTTTAGACTTTATTATTCTTTAGTGACCAAATTAAAAAGTTCTTTTGTGTAGAAAGAGGTATGGGAATTTCATGACAAACAATTCACTTTTAAAATATAGCAATTAGAGGACTAAAAGTGGCCCAAGATAAAATTGTGAGAAATATGCAAAATAGAATCTAGATTGCAAGCATTCAGAGACAAAACCTTACATACAAGACACTTTATTATTAAGGCAGGTGCAAGAGTAATTGTGGTTTTTTGCCATTACTTTTAATTTAAGGTTATACAGAATACTTTTTCAAAATAATTTCAAATATATTAATCTACCCAAATTGAGTCATATCTTAATTTCCAATGAGTTATAAACCTATATTTTAATCACAAGTTCAAGGTTTAATTTTTTTTCTAGTGAAAGACAACCTTGTAATATAGCATTTTGGAAACTCCATTTGCAAAATGCCTTCAGCAGGGAATAGCTGTTCAAATTCATGTAGTCACAGGCTGATTAAACAGAACCCAAAAGACAGAGCTAGAAGCTGTACAAAGTGCAGACCCAGAAAGCCTCAAGGTCTTTAATTAAGAGCTATCTGAAAGCTTCAAAAGGAAAATAATTCCAGAAGCAAATGGGAGGGCTTTATATATGCCAATTATCACCACTGAAGAGCAAAAATTGGCTTAGGCTATGCCAGATAAGGACAGAAAAATTATTATCAGCCAGGACGGAAGGGTCTTTGCCTGTTCAAAATTTTGCTTTACCCTTTCTCCCATCATTTCCCAAGAATGTCAAAGCCTTTAGTGTTCTATTTTTTGTTTACCAATATACAGAATTTTCTTCAAAGGCAGAAGAAAACTAATTTAGTATCTGGTCTTGATATATTCTATAAGCTGAGAGATCTACGTCCAAAGTTGCAAACCCAAATGCTTGCAGGAGTAAAAAGTGGGTGGGGGATGGGGAGGGGGTGCTGGGAGTCAGGCACATACACATTATGAGATTCTGGAAAACTGGCCACTATTCAGTGCACCCCATGTGCGCCACGTGAGAATGTGGGCTTAGTCCTGCCAGGACTTCAGAGAGATGATGAGCATCCAGATTTTTTTTTTTTTAATTTGAAATGTTCTAGTTTTGAAATGTGGGCTGAAATTGTTTTTAACTGCACAACCAAACAAAACACCTATTCAGTTGTTCAGAATCTGCAGGAGGTTAATTCACCTCTGATTGCAGCCATTTGTATCATACATAATAAGCACTCAGTAAATTCTATCTGCTGTTATTACTGCTTCATTTCTATGTCTGATTACTCAGAGACTTTGCAAGTGGTCTGCTTGTTTTCTGAACAAATTTCCTTCATTCCTAATTAAATACTGTGTTCACTACCTAGATTTCTCTTGGTCTTCCAATGTGGAAAACATTTTATTTTCCCTTCTACTTTTATTTTGGTGTTCAACTTAGAGATAACTCTTATTTTATATGTTGAGGCTATTTTCAAAGTGGATAAACACTGCTAATCTATGATTTTGTCACTGGAATGAAGATCAAGAATGTGGTATATTTCTAAAATTTATATAATTTTCAAAATGAATATATCTACCTAAAAGAAAATACTGCAGCCTACATCCTCAGTCTTCACACTGTTCTTATATGACATGGCAGTTCTGTTTTATTATCTTTTATATAACAGAGTTAACTTAAATTCAGTTAACTATGATACCTTCATCTTAGTCAATGTGAATAAAGTGTTTTAATATGTTTATCATTTACAACTAACCAAACAATCTATCCCCCTTGTCACATTCATTAAATAACCCAGATTTTGAAGTTTTATGGCATCCTAATTTGCTAAATTTAGTGCTATAGGGAAACAAAGTTGAGAATGGGCAATTAACTACAAAGCACTAAACAAATATGATTTTTCTATAGCCTCATTTTAGTAAATTGAGTGATTAATGTTAGAGAATTTTCTAGGAAAGAATTAGAATATATGATCACTACATTTATTACTAAGATTCTTACGAGGATTCCTACTTGTTTTTAAATGCTTTAGGGTGAAGACAAACTATTTGGCAAGCATCAATTTGCCACGCTATTGTAGGTGTTTATCTGTATTTAAACTTCGGTCGACTACAGATTACAAGTTAAATTACAGCGACTGTCTATTATATTCAATCAGACATATTTGAGATGATCTTCTAAAATTTCATTTGGGAAGAGAAACGAAGAACCTGCTAGTCAATAAAATGACCAGGCCGAGGAATCAAGATGGACATTTCCAAAGAAAAATTAGGTGAGGGAGTGACAGGGGGAAATTCTTGCAGTTAAAATTAATGAAACTAATGAAAAAGAGAGAAGTTTTAAAGCACCATAGACAAAATTCAGGCCACACAGTCCTGTGGATATTTGAAGTGGCCAAATTTGGTTAATTCAGAAAAACATTCAGGGTCCACAAGAATAAATGAAATTGGAAACTGCCACAGAACAGGCGATGCATGGTTGATTTTGAATTACTCAGAAGCGGGCCATTTAGCTTAGTAATAATCATAATTGTAGCTCCTTATGTTATTTTTGGAAACCTAAAGAGTGGGGCTCATATTTTGAGACATTTTAATGTTTTGGTCTCATATTTTTGTCCTTCCTGTGTCTCTCTTCCGCCTCCCTCCTATCCTATGGCTTTTCTGTAAGCACAGTATGCTGTATGTGGTGGAGTGGCTGCCAGGATTTGGTCAGTGGGAAGGATGAGAGGTGAAAGCACTTACTGCACCACGCACCTAGGTGCGTTAACAACAAACCAACCACTTGGTGCTATGAACATGGAACATAATATTTTCCTATTTTCCAGCAGAGAGGTCACCTCTGTCAGCCATGCATCAGTATCCTGAGAACATGTTCCCAACAAACCAGGCAACCAAGAAGAGAACAAACTCATTTTATTTTTTGAGATCTGTTCCTTGTGTTGCTCTAAAATAAAACGATGTAGGTACATCGTATCAGACTTGTGTTGCCACTAAAAATCACCCACTGCTACTAAAAATTAACATCCAGGAGGTAATTTGCATTTTATAAAGATCCTCTTTTCCAGTCTCTGACAATTCCAGGAGGGAATATTTGGATTTACTAAAACAAAAACAAAATAAAACCCCCCAGCTTCCCTACAACTCCCCATTCCCAGGCCAGCTTCATAGGCATTCCAGATGCTACTATGTTGTACACTAATCAAAAATTAACTTAAAAAACATTTGCTTAGCTCATGATATGTATATGTAGCTTGACTAATTCCAGTGGAAACTGCAATAAATGAAACTTAGTACCAAAAATATTTGATCATATGGCTGTGATTGAGGCAGAGGTGAATCTTTACAAAATTACCCCAGGGCCCTTAATAACGGGTTTGTAAAATCACTTAGCAACCAACTTCCTTTTTTTTCCCATGTGGCATAATGAGACCTGGTCATGGTTCACAAAGGTTTGTTTTTAAAGTTCAAAACCTTGTTTAGGTGTTAAACACAGTCAGTCATTAGATATGCAGATAATGAAAATAAACAGAATAAATAATGTTTGCCCCAAAAGTGGAAAGGACTTATTTCTTACCGGACTTTTCCTCTAAAAGCGTAGGCATGGGGAGGAAGAATAAAGAGAAAATGAGAGAGGTGAAATGTATTTTCAAGAAGAAACAGGACAAGACTCAGGATAACCTTACTTAAGGCAGCTCTTGAAGGCACTGCTTTTATAAATGCTTCCTGTGGGGGTCTGATATGGTCATTCCTAGGCTGCTGTCTTTAGTTCAAGCTACAGAGGGCATTGGTGTGGACTTCATCTGGGCATCTAAGCACATTCTAAGCTTGCTCCTTCCTTCCTTCCTTCCTTCCTTCCTTCCTTCCTTCCTTCCTTCCTTCCTTCCTTCCTTCCTTCCTTCCTTCCATGTTTCCTTCCTTCCTTCCTTCCATGTTTCCTTCCTTCCTTCCATGTTTCCTTCCTTCCTTCCTTCCTTCCTTCTTCCTTCCTTCCTTCCACCCTCCCTCCCTCCTTCTCTCTTTCTTTCTCTTTCTCTTTATTTCTTCTTTCTCTTTCTCTCCTTCCTTCCTTCCTCCTTCCCTCCCTCTCTCTCTTTTCTTTCTTTCTCTCTCTCTCTTTCTTTCTTTCTTTCTTTCTTTTTCTTTCTCTTTCTCCTTCCTTCCTTCCTTCCTTTCTTTCTTTCTCTTTCTTTCTTTCTTTCTTTCTTTCTTTCTTTCTTTCTTTCTTTCTTTCTTTCTTTCTTTCTTTTTCTTTCTTTCTTTCTTTCTTTTCTCTCTTTCCTTTCTCTTTCTTTCTCTTTCTTTCTTTCCTTCTTTCTTTCTTTTTCTGACAGAGTCTGTCTTGCTCTGTGCCCAGGGAGGAGTGCAGTGGCATAATCATAGCTCGCTGAAACCCTCAATTCCTGTTCTCAAGAGATTCTCCCACCTCAGCCTCCCATGTAGCTAGGACTATAAGCATGTACCACAATTTCTGGCTAATTATTTTTATTTTTGTAAAGATAGGGTCTTGCTATATTGCCCAGGCTAGTCTTGAACTTCTGGGCTCAAGTGATCCCCCCACCTCAGCCTCCCAAAGTTCTGGGATTAGAGGTGTGAACCATCATGCCTGGCCTAATCTTTCTTTTGAATGGTTTACTTTTATCAAACGGATTTGTGGCTTGACAATAAAAAATTATGTTTCATAATATTGAGAGGAGTTGGAAAATACTACTCATGCATTGTAGCCAGGCATGGTCATGAAACGAAAACATGAGACTTTCCAGAAACTCCAGTCTCACCGGGGAACCCAGGACCTATCATCTTCTCCAAGTCACCATGGCTAGAACTGTCAGTTCTTCTTAGATCCCATCCTTGATTTCTCCCTATTCTCCACGTACAATTATGAATTCTTCTCCCTGTGAGTGGTCAATGGCCCCTCAGAATGCCCTCTTACTTCCTCAGCTCCTATCTTAATGAGGCCTTCATTATCCCTCACTGACAGCACATTCGCTTCCTAGCTGAAGGTCCTATTTCCAGCTTCATCTCCTAATCCATCCTTCACACTATCCTCGGAATCATTTTCCAAAAATAGTGAAGTGAATATATCATTCTGCCCTTAAAAAACCTCTTTACTATTCAGAAAATAGAATGCCAACTCCATTCTATGGAATTTAATGCTTTGGTGAAGGGCTGCAGCTTCCCTTCCCACCCTCATCTTCCTCCGTTGACTTTCTATGAAGCCTGCACCTCGCTGCACTCTCCTGGCTCTCTTGGATGTGCCATGCACTTACACGCTTCCCTGTCTTCTTCCCATGCTACCTCTCCCTGTCCCTGAATCAAAATTACTCATTTTTCAAGGTCAGTAACATTTCTTCCATAAGACCTTTCCCAGCTTTGCCTGCCAAAATACATTGCTCCCTTCTCTGGTTTGATTGTGACTCAGTCCTTTTGTTCAAAATAATAAATAAATATTGAAGGCCTTTGTATTTGCCTGACCTTTATTAGCCTCAGGGAACAAAGGTACACATTGCTAGTACATTTCTGCAATTTTTATTTTGTTCTGTATTGTTTAGATGTCTCCACTCGATTATTAACTCACAATAATGGCTATGCACGGATTCTCTCTAGCCCCAAACATAGAGTGAGGCATTCAACACAAGTTTATAAATTCCCTTTATGGGGAGCCATTGTAACATTATACAAATGTTTGAAGTACAATGTCTTTTGAAATAAAAAAAATAAATTGTTCTTTGAAATAAGGCTGAATTATATATGGCACAAGCCATGTGTCCTCAGTTGTAATGGTTCTTTCACCAGCTCCATAAATATTTCAGTTAGCTCCTACTTAACTGTTAATTTCTCTGCCTATTAGTGACCTCAGGTGCTACCCATGTTACAAATGTTCTAAAGAAGTGGCACAGCTTTGTACAACGTTAGTGAAGATTATGTGCTCAGATGTCCAGGGCAGAATTTTCTCCTAGAGCAAAAACTAATGCTTCAGAATAGTTAAGGGCCAAGAAAAGGGCTACATCCTTGTAGTTTTCAGCCCTTGAACTAAAACTCTTATTTATAAGGTAAATTTCTCAGCCTTTTCTAAAATAAAATGCATCTTATTTAATTAAAATCAGAAGAGTAAACGTGAACACACAAATGATAAGGGTTATCCCTCCCCTCCTCCCTACACCTCTCCACTTCAGGCTACCTGATATATTAAACCATCTTGATTTAATATGCTGTTTTGCTATGGCAGCAGCTATCAACACCTAGGCTATGACCTCGACCTCTTAGCTTAAAGGTTTCCTCAGAATGTTGAAAAAAAAATAAAAACAAAGATAGGAAAAAACAAATATGTATTTGATTTAAAATGAGCTAGTAGCATCAGAGTTTATTTTTAATTATGGAAAAGATAAATAAGAGAAATGGGAAAGAAAGATATCCCTCTGGGCTTACTTGTAAATAGAAATGAGTAAGTGAATTTTTTGACAAAATATAAATTTACCTAAAATATAACCATTGAATGGTTATGAAGGACAGGGATTTTTTTTTTTTTTTTGTCCAAGAGCCTAAGAAAACACAATTTCTGACTTACAAGGCTTGTTGAAAGGCGGCTTATCCCATAATCAACAGCTTTCAAGGAACTCATAGACCCCGACCCTCTGTAGCTGGAGGGTCTCTCTCTCTGGCTGTTATTACTCCAAATAACATGGTAAAATGCAAGTATTCATTCAAGTTAGGTTTGTTGCTACCTACATTTTTGCATGAGGGGTTAGAAACCAATTCAAAATTGAATTCTGTTTGAGAGTCAAAGCTAATAGAGGTGAATGAAGAAAATATAAACCAGTTTTGATGATCACTTACATTAAGGTTTTGTGCTCTGATTACATCCCTGCTTGCTGCCCAGCTTAACAAGGAATTGAGCTGTCATGGGAATTTTTGGCATCAGGCATCATAGAGTCGGATCAAGACATAAAATGTCAGGTTGAATCTGTAAGCCTTTTAAGAGTCTGCAATCATTGAACCTGAAAAATAGGATGACTGTATCCTGAATCTTTCTCTTTTTATTTTTGTTTATATGATGTATTTTAAGAGATAGGGTCTAGTTTTATTCCCCAGGCTGAAGTGCAGTGGTGTAATCATAGCTCACTCTAACCTTGAACTCCTGGGTTCAAGCGATCCTTCCGTCTCAGCCTCCTGAGTAGCTGGGATTACAGGTGCATGCCACTGTGCCTGGCTCATTTTATTTTTATTTTATTTTTTGTAAAGACTGGGTCTCGCTATGTTGCTCAGGCTGGTCTCAAACTCCTGGGCTCAAGCAATCCTCCCAGTGTGGCTTCCCAAAGCACTGGAATTATAGGCATGAGCCACTATGCCCAGTCCAAATCTTTATATTTTAATAAATGGGATTCTATTATAAAATAATCACTTTGTCTTGGCTATTTATGACTACTTGGGTATTCACAAGAGGCAAAAGGATTATTCATTTATTAAGCCATTAACAGATATTTATTGAGCACCTAGGAAATACCAGACACTATTCTGGGGATATTAGTGAACAACAGAAAAGGCGATAAAAGCTCCAATGGGTTTACATCTGGTAGTAGAGGAAGGAGAAAGATAATCAGTAATAAACACTGTCATGCATTTTATACAGACGTTTTGGTCAACGATGGACCGCATATACGATGGTGGTCCCATAAGATTATGACAGAGTTGAAAAATTTCTACTGCCTCGTGATGTCATAGTGCGATGCGTTACCCATGCGCTTGTGGTGATGCTGGTGCAAACAAACCTCCTGTGCTGCCAGGATTATTAAGTACATAATACTTGATAATAAATGGCTGTTACTGGTATATGGATTTACTATACTATTTATTGTTATTTTTTGAGTATACTCCTTCCACTTATAAAAAACAAGTTAATTAACTGTAAAACAGCCTTGTGCAGGTCCTTCAGGAAGTATTTCAGAAGAAGGCACTGTCACCTGAGGAGGTGACAGCTCCATGTGTGTTACTGCCCCTGAAGGCCTTCCAGTGGGATAAAAGGTGGAGGCGAAAGACAGTGATGTTGCTGGTCCCGACCCTGTGTAGGTCTAGGCCAATGTTTTTGTTTGTGTCTCAGTTTTTAACTAAAAAGTTTAAGAAGTGAAAAGAAAAAATTTTAATAGAATAAAAGCTTGTAGAATAGAGTATAAAGAAAGGATTTACTTTAAATACTATAAAGAAAGAGTATAAAGTATTTTTGTACAGCTGTACAATGTTTTTGGGTTAAATGTTATAACAAAAGAGTCAATACTTTTTAAAAAGTTTAGAAGTTTACAAAGTAAAAGAGTTATAAGGCTAATTTTATAAATTTAGGGTGGCCTAATTGTACAGTGTTTACAAAGTCTACAGTAGTGTCCAGTCATGTCCTAGGCCTTCACATCCACTCACTGACTCACCCAGAGCAACTATGAGCCCTGCAAACTCCATTCATGGTAAATGCCTTATACAGGTGTACCATTAAAAAAATCTTTCATACCATATTTTTACTGTACTTTTTAATGTTTACATATGTTTAGATTCGGAGATATGATTATGTTACATTTGTCTATGGTATTCAATACAGTAATA